CTTCCACCTTCCAGGTAGGTTTGATGACACAGGAGGCACAACTGGAAATGGAGAGAGAAGAGGGCAGAAGCCGAGGTATGTCTCCTCCCATCTCCATCTGCTTTTTGTTAGGTCTATAAGTTTGCACCTGTGTGGTGGCTGCAGCTCCCAGCAGATGGCCTTGCTGTGGTCCCATCTTCTGCTGGCTGGCGCAGCTTTGGGCCCCGACCTCCCTCAGCCCCTCCACCCCTAGGACTGATGTTGACTTTCTCCTCTTGCTGATCTCACGATCCCCTATTTGGCCTCTCTGCTGGGTAACTCATTCCCCACATTAAATTCCTCCTTTTTCATTATGTTGAGCAAACAAAGTCATTCACTACAGAATACCTGCTATGTGGTTCTATTTATGTGAAGTTCAAGAACAGGCAAAGTGCATCTATGGTGATAGGAATCAGAACAGTGACATTCTTGGCGGGAAAAGGAGACCGCCAGGAAGGGGCCAGAGAGAACTTTCTGAGACGCTGAAAATGTTTTATATCTTGATTGAGGCATTGATTACGTGAGTATGTGCACTTGTGAGGACTCCTTAACCCACAGGCCCAAGACCTGGGCATTTAACTGTGTGAATTATAACTAAACGAAATTAGTTTAAGAAGAAGAAATCCCTGTTTAAATACCAAAAGTGTTTTCTAATTTCCTGGTTGGATCCTGATGGAAACATGGTTTTTGTTTTTCAACGAACATAGGTAGACCATGGAGGAGGATGTAAAATTCAAGTGTTTGGTTTTTTAAAAAAAAAAATTTTAAATAAAACATGAGACTTTAAACCGAATTTCACACTTGGGTTGGTTTATTTCAGGATATGTCCCTAGTCCCTGGCGTGGGGGGGCTGGGGGAAGTGCCCTTCATTCTCTCCTGCTTTTCTCTAGTCAAAAATGTGGCGAAGCGCTGGTGTGTATTTAGTGTCTAGCTCAGTGCCTAGCACAGTGCAGGTGCTCTGGAAAGGTTACTTCTTACTGATATAAATTGGGTTTCGTGGATCATTTTAAGGTCCGTGTTTTCTGACTTTCTTAAAGAGAGTGTGATTTTCCCTTGTGAGGGTCACAAAGAATTCTGCCCTGGCTAGGGAGGGCTTTCTTAGACCACACAGGCTCGAGACACAAGTTTCTACATAGGCTTGGATTCGGAGATGATTTTATGAAACTCCAGGAAAGGAAGCAGGAGTTCAGAATATCTGTGTGGTCCTCTCCTCTCTACCCCCAGGTCTAGCCCAGCACCTGCCGCAGCCTCACGATGAAGGGAACGGTTGTTCCATCTACTGCCCAGGGCAAGTTGGAGAGAAAGCTCACTGGTGCACATGTTTCATAAGGGCTGCATGTAGGCTAGGAATGGGCCAGAACACCCTGGAAACCTTGGCCGGCTTCCTAGGCTGTGAGTTAGGGGAAGGGGGACTAGATCATGCACCCCTGCTCTATCTCAGCGTCCAGATGGACCAGGCAGCTTGTGAATATTCTCGTCCTCCTGGGCCTGGGTGGTGGACCCAAGCTGGATTGTTGCCAGTGGCCAAGGGTAGGGAGGACCATCAGCCCAGGGCCCGGGCACAGAGCCGCCTCCTGGGGACAGTGGGTACGGCATGTCCAGTCTGTCCTCCTGGGCCTGGGTGGTGGACCCAAGCTGGATTGTTGCCAGTGGCCAAGGGTAGGGAGGACTATCAGCCCAGGGCCCGGGCACAGAGCCGCCTCCTGGGGACAGTGGGTACGGCATGTCCAGTCCCAGCTGCTCTAGAAGGCACTGTTCCGTGGGCTACGGCCCTGGGCGGGTGGGCAGGGCCCGGGCAGACACAAGCGGCGCTGGGTCTCCAGTCGGCAGAAGCGGTTCTGGTTGGACACCCGGGTGGCCACGCCCAGCCCACAGGTGGTTGAGCAGGGACCCCAGGCCGTGCTCCATTCTGGGCAGGGGACACCAGGGGGCGGGGGAGCAACAAGGCCAGAAAACTGAGGTCCTGGGGAAAGAAAGAGGAGTCAGCACTGTGAGGTCAGAGCTTGGCAGCCAAGTCAACCCCCCTGCCAGCGGTGTGATCTTGGTCAAGTTGCTTAACCTCTCTGGATCTCAGTCTCTTCTCATGTAATTTCCTAACAGTTGATCGTTGCGATTGAATAAAATAACGAACGTGAAGTGTTTAGCACCGTGCCTGGTACTCGTAAGCACCCCATAAATATTGGTCTTTAGGCAACTAGGATGGTGCTGGCCACAATGGTCCCCCAGTACGCAGTGAGCTTTCTTGTTTCTGTGTTCCCCACAGCTCCCATGATAAATAACATCACACAGGCGGGAGGTGCCCTGCCTTGTGTAGTGGTGCCAGGACCTGGTGGTAAGGATCGAAGAGTCCAAGATCCTTGTGCCTGGAACAAGATGGTGAGCTCATCATGGTCCAGCTTTTCCTCTTCCCCAAGCCATCTTCTTCTCTGCTAATATTTTGGTGTCCTTCCTTCTAGTCCTTTATACCAGTGGTTCTCAATAAGGGGTGATTTTTGCCCCCCACCCGGGGACATTTGGCAATGTCTGGAGACATTTTTTGTTGTCACAGTTGGGGAGGGGGGTGACTACTGGCATCTACTGGGTAGTGGCCCCGGATGTTGCTAAACACCCCATGATGCACAAGAACCCCACCCCCCCAACAAAAAATTACTCAGCCCAAATGTCACTAGTGCTGAGGTTGAGATACTCTGATTTCTACACACGTGCACATTGTGTATGCAGGTATATGTGTCCCTCTACCTGTGTACACACATAGTGGAGATCAAATTGAAGATATGGTTTCTTATCCTGCTTTTTATACATAAGGTGAACTCACTGGCATTCTCCTACATATTTAAACAGATGTATCATATTCCAGCACTAAAGTAGTACTCTGTGCTAGGCACTGTTACACCTGCTTTACCTGGACTAACTCATTTAGTCCTCACAGCAAGTCTATGAGGTGGATGCTCTTATCGCCAGTTTACTTGAAGAGCAGAGACACAGAGAAGTTTAGCAATTTTCTCAGAGTCACACAGCAAGGAAATGGCAGACCTGGGATTAGAAATGGTGCAGGTTTTATGTACTTAACCCACCACACTCTACTGCCTTTCCTGTGTGGCAGCATTATTTATGGAACCAATCCCCTCTTTTTGGTTGCCTTTTTATTTTTTAAATCACCTTCGTGTAATAATAAGAATTTTTAAAAAGCAACATAATAACAACAAAATCTCTAACATCGAAGAGTTTATACCAGAAGGTAACTGTCTTTTTTCCATCTCTGCCCACCCCAGGCCCACGTTCCAAAGACAACCACCTTGCCTAGGTCAGTTTTGAGTTCCTCTAATTGAGTTCAAATAATAATGTATTGATAATAGTATATATTATCAATATGTATTGATATATTATAAATATAATAATATTGTGTACTATAATAGTATACCTCTGTTACATTTTTTATACCTCTGCTGTGAAATATGAGAATCTGGTTCAAGTATCCTAACCCTACCCACTCTGCCACCCGATTTTTATTTTTAATTATTTAAGATTTTAAATTATATATTTAAACGGCCGCTTCTTTTGTCCGTTTTAAAGAGGCCTGGGGACTCGCCACTGCACTTTCCTACCTCTCTCCACAGCCACCACCCCCTCCCAGCTTCTGATGTGTCCCACTGTCCTGGCAGTTAAGAAGCCCCCACCCATCCCCAAGCCCAGGCATCCCGGGCGCCCCTCAGGCGACCCTGCGGGTGGCCTGGGCCTGCCCTGCACTCACCTTGGGCTGGGAGGGGCTGGACCCCCAGTCCCCTTCCCTGGTCGCAAACCCACTCGGGGCAGCACCTGCCCGGGACCTCGACCCTCCTGGGCTGGGGGCAGTCCCAGCTGGGCAGCCGGACGTCCTCGCTGCACAGCGGCACACATGTGAAGCCGCCGTCCTCGCAGCGGCAGCGGATCCTGCAGTGGGGCTGGAAGGTCTCCCCGTCCCGGTACAGACGGCCGTTCACCTCACAGCTCCCATCGTCCTCTCCCACTGTGGAGGAGAAACCGGCCCCCCATCGTGATCTCGCCTGTGCATGGCTCTCTGCAGAGCTGGCCCAGATCCCGCTAGGGGAGGCAGTGCCCTTACAGTACCTGAGCACTGCCCACGGCTTCCAGCCCAGCGGTAGGCACCCTCTCCCCACTACCAGCCTGTCCCAGCGCCTGCAGCAAGACAACGTGGCATCCTGGACCCTGGCACAGGGTTTCTGGGAAGACTGGCCTGGTTTGAGCCCCAGCTCTGCCCTTTCTTAGCTGTGAACCTTGGCCAAGTGATCTCATTTCTTGCCTCAGTTTCCCCATCTGCAAAATAGGATATAGTGGTATTTAGCTCACAGGGTGATATAGATTAAATGAAATGATGTGTAATGAATCCAACATAAAGGAGACCTTTGATAGCTCCTAGCTACTCTATTATTATTGTATATTAATAATATTTAACTGTTACATACACAGATTTTATGCAACAAACTCATTGTCCACCTGCTGTGTTGTAGTCATCACTATCAGATGAGGGCTTAACTTGCTGGCTGTGTGTGGCTTTGGGAAAGTTACTTAACTTCTCTGAGTCACCTGAACAATAGCAATGATGAGAATTATAATTTGTGCCTTCAGGTTACACGGGGTAATATGCACATAGTACCTAGCATAGTGCCAGGCCTGTGGTAGGTGCTCAGGAAACACTCTTAGAATGAAGCCCTCAGGATAGGGGTGTTGTTAGCACTTCCTTCACTGGACATGAACTCTTTGAGGGGTGAGAATGTTCATCCTGGCATCCCCCGTGCTAGCTCAGAACCTGGATGGGACACACAAAACCCCAGGAAATGCCCTTCAAATGAATATCTAGCACAAGGCTCGGCACATAAGAGATGCTGATAAAATAACTCTGATTCCTTATAATGCCAGAGATATTTATTGTGACCCACCTGTGTGCCAACCACTGTGTTCCTAGACAGGAATAAGACAGTTCATGTCTCGAGGGACTCATGGGCTAGTGGGGAGACAGATGTGAAAGTCACCATCTCCAAGACAGAGAAGGTAAGAGCCCTGGTGAGGGGAGTGTGAGCTGCTCAGGAAGTGCAGAGGAGGAGCAGTGTGTGGGTGGGGGGCAGAAGGGGGCTTCCTGGAGGCCTGGGTGGCTGTTGAGCTGGGTCTGAGGGAAAGGACTCATTGGCAAGCAGGTTCTCCCAGCTCTTCTTAGAAAAACCTAAAAATAGGTCCATGAACACACAGGTGCAAACCCTAGCTCCCCGCTTGCTAGCTGTGGGACCTGGGGCAAGTTACCTCACCTCTCTGAGTCTCAGTACCCTGCCCAGAGGGCTGCTGGAAGATTAAATGCTCATGGACTCACAGCACAATGTCCAAGCCTGGCACATAGCAGATGCTCAATAAATGGGAGTGGGTTATGCATGTCCTTCCAGGGAGGACAGGACCGTGTCGGCTCCTACAATTGCTCCCTCTAGGCCACCGCCCTTTGGCTCCAAATCCTTGACTTTTTGGCCTGGACCATGTGGCTGCTGGTTTCCTAGAAACCACAGAGGCAGCTGCACCTTAATCCCCTCCCCTGGCCTGGCCAAGCCTGAGTATCCCAGCCTGATCCTGGTGCCACAGCCCTGGAGCCTCCAGGTCGCTGGGATGGCCTGGTAAACAGAGGAATTGTTTAGGAAAATCAACTGGAGGGGTGATAATTTTAGCAAGGTTTCCTGGCACCTCCCCTGGGTCCTTCAGCTCAGAGCTGGTTGGGGTTGGGGTGGGCGGGGGATGGGGGGAGATGATCGCTGGGCAGGGGCACTTCAGGATCTGTGTCATATACCTGCGTGTATGGTCCCAAATACCACGAGGCACCTCCAAACTCAGAATTCCCCTGCCCACAGGGGAATAACACATCCAGCTGCCAAAACCCTACTCCTCCCTCCAGGTCCCCTCTAACATCCCCTTCTCCAGCAACTCCCCCACTTAATGCCTTCCTCTGAGTTCCCATAGCCTCTCCCAGGACAGAGCATAGCCTTGTCATCTGAGGATTTCTGCATCCTTCTTCCCCTCTGGGAGTCCCTTGCAGGGACAGGAACAACAGGGTTTTATTGTTTGTTTGTTTACCTTCAGCTACTTGCAAACAGTGTGACCTTAGGCAGGTGACTTAACCCTGGGTCCCTTATTGGCAAAATAGGGATAATAATAGGGCCTACCTCCATATTAAGGATAAAATGAAATCACCTACATAAAGGACTTGCTCACAGTATGTGCTCGATACATGGTTCCTGTTCTGCTAGCCCCGCTAGAACTACCCTTATTATTCATTCATTCAACACGTATTTATTGAGTGCCTGTGATGGGCCAGGCTCTGTTGTAGGCACTTATGAGAAAGCAATGAAAAAAACAGGCAAAAGTCTTTTCTTCCTTGAAGGTTTCGCTCCAGTGGAAATAAACACGATGAACATGTAGAGTTAATTGTGTCAAATGGTGATTAGTGCTAGAAAAATAAAGGAGGATTAAGGAGTTGGGGAGGGGGTTTGGAATTTTTAAATATGGTGATCAGGGAAGGTGACATTTGAGTGAAGACGTGAAGGAGATGAGGGAACTCGCCTCGCAGACATCTGCTGGAGGGAACAGCCAGTGCAAAGGCCCTGAGGTAGGAGTATGCCTGGGGTATGTATGGAACAGCAAGGAGGCCAGTGTGCTGGAGCAGAGAGCAGGTGGGAGAGAGGGAGGAGATGAGGTCAGAGGGAAAAGGAGTAAGATCCTGTGGTACCTTGTAGGCCACTGTGGAGACTTTGGCTTTGACTCTGAGGAGATGGAAAGCCATTGGAGGGTTTGGGGCACAGGAGGGATGTGGTCTGACTTATGTATTAACAGGATCCCTTGGACTGCTGCATTGAGAATAGACTGGGGGCAAGGATGAAAAGAGAGACACGATTTGGGGGCTACTACAAAATCCAGGCACATGGTGAGGGGGTTCAGACCAGGGAGGAAGCCATGGAGGGGCTGAGAAGTGTCAGATTCTGGAAATATTGTAAAGAATTTGCTGGTGGACAGTGGGTGGGAGGTGAGAAGAGAGATGTTAAGAATCATGAGCCTGAGCCATGGAAAAGATGGGGTGCTTGCAACTGACTAGGGAGGCAGCACGTTTGGGGTGTAGGCACTCAGGAGCTCGGGTGGACGTGCTGTAACTATGATCATGAATCTGCAGCACAGAACATGGCTCGGAACGGCCCTCAGAGAAGGGCAGTTGAACCAGTAAGTGATAGGAGAGTTTTTGACTGCACGTTCCCTGCAGATCCCAAGACCAACCTCTGTGAAGACATAGCTGGATCTTAAGTCGCCTGTGGGGTTCACCAGCTCCTCTAAATTTGGTTGAAATCATTAAACATTCACGAGCACCCACCATGTTGCCAGACCAGAATTGAGAGTGGCAGGAAGGACCAGGGACCAAGTAAATCCTTGGCCTGTAGGTGTTTGAAGTCTGAATTAAGATAGGATAATAATAAAGTTATTGACAATAACAGCCACTATGTCTAATCATATGCTGAGTGTCAGGCAGTTGAGTAATGGAGCCTGCTTGTGAGTTCAAATCCCAGCTCAGCCATTATGGGCTGTGTGATCTTGGACAAGATGCTTAACCTCTCTGTGCCCCTTTCCCCCCTCATTTATAAAATAGGGATAACATTAGTATCTACCTCAGATGGTTGTTGTGAGATTAAATGAATTGATATTTGTGAAGCCCTCAGTGCCTGGCACATGGTAGGAGGTGTGTAAGTGTTCAATAAAGAAACTGCCAAGTGCTTTACATGTCTCATGGAAAATCTAAATAACAGCCTTGTAAGCTAAGTGTTACTTATCTCAGCTTTTTCTTTAGATACATCTTCATTAGCAGTCATCCGTGAGTTTATATAACAAATCACCTCTTTCTCATTACTATACTCCCCCGATCAAATAAAGTATTTTACAAGAATTTACTATTGCTAATATTCTGTCTGTAAGTTTTGTTTTTTAACAAGGCTTTTCCTGTAGATGAGTTTATTGTCAATGACTCACGAGCCTCTCTCTCTCATACTTATTTTTTTTTTTTTTTAAAGATGACCGGTAAGGGGATCTCAACCCTTGGCTTGGTGTTGTCAGCACCACGCTCAGCCAGTGAGCTAACCGGCCATCCCTGTATAGGATCCGAACCTGGGGCCTTGGTGTTACCAGCACCACACTCTCCCGAGTGAGCCACGGGCCGGCCTCTCATACTTATTTTTATAAAAGTATGACATGCACATAGATGAAAGAGGTAAATTGTTCTACAAGGTTTATTATTTAAAAAGAGAAAGAAAGAGGGATAAAAAGAATAGTCCCTGACCTCTTTCTATTTCTCTAAAGCAGTGGTTCTAAATTGGGGTTGATTTTGCCTCCTGGGGACATTTGGCAAGGTCTGAAGACAGACTGTCATGACTTGGGGGGTAGGTTGATACTGGTACCTGGTGGATAAAGACCAGGGATGCTCGTAAACATCCTACAATATACAGGACAACCTTCATGACAAAAAACTATCTAGCCCCACGCGTCACTAGAGCAAGGTTGTGAAACCCTGCCCTAAATTGTCAGAGGATACCAAGGCCTAAAAGAGCAGTGAGAAATGTAACATGCTCAAGGTCACGGTAAACAGCAAACCCAGGATTCAAACCATGGTCTCAAGGCTCCCACTTGGGAGGAAGACAAAATGGAATGTTGCTTTAGAGCCTGTTTGACCAGGTCTCTAGCTGTGTGACGTGAAGCATGGTAGTAGTTAACATCACTGAGCCTCAGTTTCTGCATTTGTAAAGTGGGTCTGAAACTACTGACCGTCACAGGATTCTTGTGAGAATGATGTGGCTTGTGTGGTAAGGGCTTACTTAGCACAGTGCCTGACACCTAGTATGCCCTAAATAGGGGATCGCACTTTTATTCTCCCCCAAGTGTTGTGAGGGTCCTGAGAAGGGGATGATGACTTTGGTTGGAAGAACCTGGGAGGGCTTCTCAGGAGACAAAAGGTTTGAACTTGGCTTTGAAAGTTGGCTATGATTCGGACGGTGGAAATGGGGAAAGGCTATTCACGGTGGGGGCATGGTCTGAGCAGAGACCAAGAGGGAAGGGGGCAGTGGGCCTCGGAGCCTTGGGTCACCAGAGTCAGCTGGAAAGGACGGGGTACCTGAAGTGAGGGTGAAAGGAGGTAGAGAGACGAGGGCTGCTGTTTGACTCAGGATCCCATGGCCTCGACCTCCCGCACACACCCATCATCAGTCCCGCAAACCTGCTTACAGAGGCACACGGCCCCCCGGCCGGCAGGGCCCTCACCGAGCTGGCAGACCAGACCCTGGCTGGTGTCACAGATGTGGAGGTGGTCGCAAGGCTCCCCCAACCGCCGTGCGCATACCCGGCAGCAGCCACAGCCGTCCAGCACCAGGGGCACCCCCAGTGGGCATCGGGGCGGTGGCCAGGGGCAGGTACATGGTGTCGGGCACAGCTGGGCGCACACCTGAAGGGACAAAGACCTCACTCAGTTGTGGGCCTTCAAAGTGGGCAGTGAGACCCTCACAACTGGGCTACCTCTCTGCCAGGCTGGGCAGTGTGGGATTCACACCTTGGCCTCAGGGTCACACAGACCTGCCCCTGAACACCGGCAGTCCCATGGCATTCCCTAAGAGACAGTATGGCATTGTAGTCATGAGCAAGGACTCCGGACTAGAGTTCCAGTCCTAACTTTGTTCCTTATTAGCTGAATGCCTTGGGGGAGTTACTTAAACTCTCTAAACCTTAGTTTCCTCATCTGTAAAATGGGTGCAATAGTAGAATCTAAGTCAAGGGACTTTTTTGAGGAGTACGTGAAATGATGCATTGAACCCTTAGCAAGTGGCCTGACATGCAATAAACGTTCAGTGCATTTAGCTACGATGATCATCATTATTCATTACAGTAAAGGCTTAGCCTGTGCCCTCTAGGAGCTGACAGGAAAGCAAAAGCTACAAGCCAAGGGTTAAAACGGCAGGGTATGGTACGTTTTCCAGCATGTGGATACTTATCTTGAGGGCTGTATAAATCTAACAGTATCGTGAATGTTTTTGGTCTTTAGAATAATCCAAACATGTTTCCCAACCCTGGATGCTCATCAAATCAGCCAGGAAATAGTAAAATACAGACCCCCAGGCTCCCTCTGGGACTTCCCAAATCAGAAGTCCCAGAGGCAGAACCTTGGAATCTGTATTTTTAACAAGCTCTCCAGGGCCTTCTGAAGCAGAGCTAAGTTTTCAGCACCTCTGCCCCAGTCTAACTTCCTCCCCTTGACTTGTGTAGATGGGGAAACTGGGCTCTAGAGAGGGGAAGAGATTTGCCAAAAGTTAGTGTTAGACACAGGGCTGGGAACAGTCCCAAGTCCTGCTTCCCTAGTGAGGACCCAGGGACACCAGGTGGGGGTTGATTTTTCCTGTAATAGGGAAAAGCTTGAGCCAGGGACTCACCCCCCAGTGGCAGCCTCAAAATATCAACCCAAATGACCCAACTACCCTTCCTCACCCAGGACAAGGAAATAACCAAACCACAAATCAGATGCTATGGACTCCCTGTATGTCCATTTGTATGTGGAGACCAAGAGGTAGGCATAATTCAGGATGTTCCCTGTGGCTCCATCTTTGGGGGACCAATTACTAGGAGAATCCTTGGGGGACTGGAGGGTTTTATGTAGACTTGCGGTTTAGGAAGATGAATTGATGATCTCATATTTCCTGTGTGGTCCCAAAGCAGTCGATGACCCCTTTGCCCTAGCCCCCACCATCTCCCGCCCCTAGTACCCGCAAGTCCTGCAAAGCTGCTTTCAGTTGTCTGAAGTTCCCACCCCAGCCACCAGGGGCTGCCCCAAACTGGTTGACCAGCTTTTGGTGGGGGTTGCAGACTGGGAAGCAATCATAGGCCTCCCACCTAAGACACCACTTACTTGGAAACAGAGGAAAGTGTGTGGCTGTGTGCCTGGCTGCCTCAGGAGGGAGGGAGGTCTCATCTCTGCAGGAATTTCAGATTCTAGGAAAGAGGGCCTAGGCTCAACCCTCAAGGTATGGTCTGGACAAGCAGCATCACCTTGGAGCTTGTTAGAGAGCTAGGACCTAGGGCCCTTCTTTATAAATCCAAATCTGCACTTTAGCAAATCTAGAGGTAATTTATGTAGCATTGATATGAGAGGAAATAGTCTGGACTTTTGGGTTTCCTTCCAAGCCAGAGGTTCAGCTCTCTTAGTTAGTGAACAGTGGGGGACTCTGATCAGAATTGGTTCTTGGGTCCCTCCTTCCTGAAAACAGGGGTACCAGGAAATAGGCCTTCTGCTGTGCACCTAGGTTCCCACTGTGGGCTCCTTTACCAGGCAAGCTTGGCCAGGGCTGGACTCTGCAGGTCCTGGTACCCAGGAGAGGCTCTAATGATATTAGTGAGTATAGCTAACACTTACCATGTTATACCACCTGTGTACCATGTGCCGAGCACTTTAATGTGCTAATTTAATTCTCCAGTGTGGGGTCCCATGATATTTCCACATTAAAGATGAGGAAACTGGCTTTACAACACAAAGGTTCATGGGTTTGGATCCCCATACTGGCCAGCCACCAAATAAATAAAGATGAGGAAACTTTAGCTTTAAAAGTTGAGCTTTAACTTTAAAGCAACGCAGTAGTACAGCCAGGAAGAGGTGAAAAAATTGGAATCCAAGGCTCAAGCTCTAAATTACTAGACCTACCTCTTGTCCTCTAGGGGCTCTGATGCCAACTTAGCCTCTGCCTCAATTAACCCACTTGTTGAAGGAGGAAATGGAAAGTCAGGCAGGGTGTTTTGGCATAGCCAAGGAGGGACATGTCCTCCCCAGCTCCCTCTATCTCCACACCCTCCCTAACCACCCTGCTGCTGCGTTCAAGTTGTCCCATCACTCCTCGGTTTCCCCAGAGCCTTGCTGTGGTCAGTGCGGGTGAGGCTCGGTGGTAGGAGCACTAGACATGGAGTTTTCTGGGCAAATGTTCAGATCCAAGTTCTACCACTAACTTGTTATGTGACTTCGAACACAGGGCTGAACTGCTTTGTAATGTGGTGGTACAGCTCAGTTTTCCCCTCTGCAAGGTGGAGTGAAGACCACCTGTCTTTGACTGATGATGGGGATTCAGTGAGGTCCCAGCCAGCTCTTGGTCAACATGACTTTGCTTGTTTCCAGGTCTCTGCCTCGTGCTCCTGTCCACCGCCCTGAGCCCAGGAGCCTACAGCCTGCCTGTCAGATTTGGAATTCTCTCTCTGAGGACTGTTGTGACTTTCCTTGTTCACGATGACTAAGTCCCTGGATTTCTGTGCAGGATGCTGTGTGCAGGATGCTGCCCGGCTTCCTGAGACCAGGGAAGAGTCGTCCCATTGGTCTCACTCCAGTGGTGAGTCTAGGATGGCTTTACTTTGGTCTTTCATAATCCTGCACCCCTTCGCACCCCTTCTCTCTTCCAGAACCCCAAATCCCCTGCTCCAATTACCGAAGCCACCCATCCTGGCATCACATCAGCTTTGGGAGGATAAGCAGCAGGACTGAAATGCCTGCAGGGTTCTCAGCCTTCCCTGGCATGACTGCTTGGGGCCCAGGAAAGAGAAGCTCCTGCCCATGCTCCTCAGACGAGCAGGAAAATGCAGTGAGATCTTGGCTTGGTGGGTGACAATCCCCATGGTTCCTGGAACTCAGCATTTGCTGAGTGGATGACATGGCACAGCAGCTGTGGCCTTGGTCCAGGTTGAGGGTGGGAAGGAACACCTGGAGTCCCCCTAACACACACCCATGACTATCCTGGGCTCCAACGTGCCCCTCCTCTATTGCTCTGTTTCTTTGCTGTGTGGCTTTGGGCAAGTTTCTTACCCTCTCTGAGCCTTGCTTGACTGAAAACTGGGGATAGGAATTCTTTATGGGGTTGCTGTGCATATAAGGCAAGATGGACATCCCGCAAGCTCTTTGATGAATGCCCCATGCAGCACCAGCAGAGAAGGCCATTACTCCTCTCCCCTTCCAGCCAGGGTCCTGGGTCACTCACTTTCTGAATGCCCAATGGCCTTGACGCAGTACAAACTTTTCAATCAGACACCAACATCCATTCAAAGCCTGGCTCGGAGTTAGACAAAGCATGTCATATCTCGAGTCTCCCCCTTTATACCCATCCCTGCTTTGTAGAGGGGTTCTAGGGACTGGTAATAATCTTTAAAGTTCTCTTTTGAACATTTATCACATTCCAGGGGCTGTGCTAAGCATTTTAGATGAACTATGAATAATTTTCACAAAGGCCTCCTGAACATTATGCCCATTCAACCAAGAAAGAAACTGAGGCTCAGAGAAGGAAAGGGACTTGCCTGGGGTCGCACAGCAGAGCTGGCCAAAGGCAGCTGTCTAGCACCAGGGAGGGAAGCCTGACTTGAGTACAGTAACCAGACTGTGCCCAAAGTGTGGCCCTGCAGGAATTCTGCCCAGGGGGGTGGTCCTTGGCTGTGATTTTACATGCCCACCCCCACCACACCAAAGAAGTCAGCAGTGAATTTTCAGAGCCCGCATCCCCCTTACCTTTGAGAGGAGGCAGAGGAGGGAGAAGGCCAGGAGGTGGGTCTGTGGTGTGCCTCTCATGTCACTGTGTCCCTTGCAGAACCAGCTTAGAGCCTAGGAGGCAGGACCTGTGAGTCTTTATGTTCCAGCAGCTGTGAGGTCACTCCCAGAAACACACACACACACACACACACACACACACACACCATTTCATTCCTTGCTTTTGCTCCTCTCCCTATCCTCATGGTCCTGGTGACAAGCCTATTTACCTGAAGGCGAGATCTTGGAGGCCACCAGGGGGGTGCCTGCCAGTGTGTGTGTGTGTGTGTGTGTGTGTGTGTGTGTGTGTGTGTGTGTGTGTGAGCCGGAGCCAGTGCCAGCTCCAAGAGCCTGTGACAGGCTGGCAGGGGCCTCTCTAGCTCCTCCCAGCCCAAGAGGGTCTTATCCAAAGCAGCTGGTCTAGCTGCTGCAGCCGTGCCCCAGACCCTCTGCCCGACCCCGGGGGGCGCGCAGATACTGGAAGTAGTCGGCAAGCACCCCTTCTTCGGGTCTGACCCAAGGCTCCTGAGCCTCGTGGCCCAGACTCTGGGCAGCCTCGGCCGGCCTGCGGTCTCTGGCAGGGAGGTTGGCAGCTGCCCAGAGGTGGGTGTGACCCAGAGCAATACTCCCCTGGCGGCCTGTTTGTGCTTGGCAGCAAGGGGCCTCTCCACTGCCTGCTTCCCTGGCTCTGGAAGGTGGCCTGCAGTGGGTGAGCCTGAGCAGGCTGGACCTACTGTGTGCCAGTGCTTGCTGAGCACTGCTAGAAGATCTGGTCAAACCAAATCCATTTTGCTTAATTCAGCAAACTCTGAGTCCTCTGCAGGAGCTGGAGACACAAAACTGACCTAAGGACAGGGCCCGGAGGGGGAGACGACAATGGGAAAACAGGTGGAATTCCTGAGAATACCGAGGAGGGTCCCTTGTTCAGACCACTGGCAAGGGACAGCTTTCTGAAGGAGGTACCATTTCAGTGAGCCAGGAAAAGAGAGGGTGAGAGAGGGCAGAACGTTTCAGGTGGCGGGAACAGCCCATAGCAATACCTAGAGGCAGAACATTGCATGACAGCCTTGCCTATTCTGGGAGCCAAAGGTTCCTGGTATGACTGGAGCCTTCTTTGTGGTGGGACATGGTGATGTACGTGCCGAGTGAGACACACACAGATTCACACCACCAGGATTTGGGGCATCTACAACGTTCCAGCCACTGGGGGTGGGGGGCTGTGGAGACATGGGCTTTGCCTGTAGAATTTAGCAAAGATAATTACAGAGGTGATGTCAGCGGGTGGCTGGGGAAGGCGTTGGCCCCCATCACTCCATCAGTACCGCAGTCCTCAGAGTGAGTGAGCTGTACCACAGAAGGTTCCAGAATGGGTGGTGGGTGAGGAAGAAGAGAGATTTGATATAGGGGCAAGACTGGGATTTTTCGGCATGGGGGAGACTCTCTCCTGTTTGCAGTCCCAGTGGAAAGAGGCAATGGAGGTGGAGGTTGACATTGAAAATGCGGGATTTGGTCATTTATGGCAGGAGGAAGTAGATGTGGTAGGGGATAGGGGTCCAGAGACGTGGAGGGAAAGAGAAACAGCGTAGGTTGTTTTTTGGCCTTTTTTTTTTTTTTTGGAAATGATGCTTTAGTCAGAGGCACGCCTAGAGTATTTTACACCCAAAATGGATCATTTTAACACCCCCTTCATATGCCAAAATTATGTTTAATAATAATCATGAAATGAAACAAATATATTTTAGGTGCGAACTAAAATTTGCACTTACCAAATGAAAACATTTACACTTCAAAGTTCACCCCGTTTCACTCTTTTCAATTTTAAACGCAAATCAAAACTCCAAGTAATTTTGTAGAATGACAAAATCGAAGTACTTATATTATCATCTTTACCATCACTCTGCATCCATTGTTTATTTCTGACTACAGTTTAAATGCAGAAGCATGTAATGCCAGACGATGGAGACAGGAACTGCACCCAACGCAGGATCAAAAGATTTCGAACTGCTGGGAACTTACTCCCTCAGTAAATGTGTGTTCCTGAGTCCACGTGTGCTGGGGACAACTGTATTTCTAGAAGCTCTCCAAGTTAACTTCCATGTAAAATATGTTTATTAAAGAATAAGAATTGAAATGTGCTCATTTGAAGCTTACATATGTACTACTAAATTTTAAGTTACTGCAACTATCATTTAGAACTTAGACCAATAAATTATATTTTCAGGATGGAGTGTTTTATCACTGACATTAGATTCACCAGTGCATGGTGCTAATACATAAAAAGCAGACTAAGCTCTCTCATCAATTTTATTTTATCTTTAAATGCTGTACCCATCTTTATCGCATTCACCCAGGGAAGCCCACTCCCACCTTCCTGTCCTCACTAGGCTACCAGTTTTAATAACAGTGAAAGTGATCGTGTATTGAGCTCCCAGCAAGAGCCAGCCCTTGTGCCAAGTACTGTTTATAAAAAGTGGAGTTTCCAATCCTCACAATCCATACCTCAATAAAAAAGGTGATACTCAGAGAGGTTAAGTAACTGGCCTGAAGTCACACAGCTAGAAAACAGAGCCAGATTTTCAGCACAGGTCCGTTTGACTTTGAAACCTAAGTTGTAGTTTTTGTTGTTATTGTTTATTTTTGCTACCACTCACAGAGCTCTCTGTGATATATATTTTTTAAATTGAGTGGTAACATATGTGAATGATGTTTGTGAAAAAATAGAATTAAAAGATAATATAAGGGCCGGCCTGAGGCTCACTCGGGAGAGTGCGGTGCTGATAACACCAAGGCCACGGGTTCGGATCCCATATAGGGATGGCCGGTTTGCTCACTGGGTGAGCGTGGTGCTGACAACACCAAGTCAAGGGTTAAGATCCCCTTACCGGTCATCTTTTAAAAAAAAAAAGATAATATAAATCTTCCCATGAACTTCTTGAAGACCCGTCCTACACAGAAAGGTGTTTCAAGTGTACTAGTACTTAGTACTAAGTGTACAGTCTGACAGTTCTTCACATACATATGCTCATGATTCCGTGTATACACCCATGTAACCATCACTCAGATCAAGCTACATTTCCAGAAGGTTCCTCATGTCCTTTCCTAAACTACCCTCTACCCCCCCCAGGTACCCACCATTCTGATCTCTATTGATTAATTTTTCCTGAGAGGAACAGTTTTAAAGCACTTCTTTCTCTGAGGCAAGAAGGAAGACAGGAGAGATTAAGAGGTGCGAGGAGGAGAGCTGGAGAGGGACACGTTGATCACAGCCCTACCAGTGACAGAGCAAGTGCTGATGGCAGGAGGCGGGCAGCGGTGGGTTCCCCGGGGAGTGAAGAAGGCACGAGGTGAGGACCGGAGCCGCTGCCATCCAGGAGGGCCTTCTGAGTCAGAGCATGGGTTTTTAGTTGGAACTTTTTCTCTGCAATAACCGGGGAAGGGAGAGTGTAAACAGTGGGAGACCTGGGGCCTGGCTGGATCAGGAAGCCTGCTGGCCAGTGTCAGGGCGTTTGGTAGTGAAAGTGTGAGTTTCGCTCCACACCCAGCTCTAGGCGTTGAAAGGCTGCAGCAGGAACTGCCACTTTGCCGATTGTCTAGGTGTGGTTCAGCCTTTGCACCGCCAAGTTTGGCACTAGAGGGATGTGAGAGTCCTGGAAACTTAACAGTCTTTTGGCAGCTGTGACTGCCCCCCACATAAGGCCCCAGAATGAGCACAGCTGCCCTTTGCTTTACCGAAAGCAAACACAGGCTCATACATCGAAAGGTCCCTGCCTCAAATGCTGGCGCCCCCACTGACATACAGCACTGGACCAGGGTGAGGTCAGAGGGGCAGCTAGCGTGCAAAATTGAAGGAGGCTCTCATTCCCACATGCCAGCCTTGCACCTGCACGACCCCAAGAGCGGGAGCCTCACTGCTAAGGAGGCTCAAAATGAGCTCGTAGTAGGAACTCAATCAGTGATTCCCTATCCCAACCAGGGCACGTTAGGCTCAGCTGAGTTCACAAATAAGCCCCCAGATCTCAGTGGCTTAATCCAGCGAAGGTTTATTTCTTGCCTGTGAATAGTCCCGTGAAGGTTAGGCAGGTCTTCTCCATCTCAGAGCTGCGTCCTGGGTCCTGCGGCTCCTCCCTACTCAAGTGTGTGGCCCGAGGACCAGCAGCATCAGCAATACCTGGTTGCTTGTTTGAAACACAGACTGTCAGGCCCTGCCCCAGAATTACAATCTGCATTTTAATAAGACCCCCAGGTCATTCACATATGCATTACAGTTTGTGAATTCCTGTTCTAGACAGTGGTCTCCGAGGTCACCACGGCAGGAAAAGAGAGGGATGGATAAGTGACATCATTACTTCTGCTCACTTTTCATTGGCAAGAAGTAGTCACGTGGCCCCAGCTTAACTGCAAGGGAAGCTGAGAAATGCCATCTTTCTGTGTATGCTCATGAATAAGAACCAGAGTGAGATATATAATATTCTTTGCCACGGATTCCTCTGATCTGGGGCACATATGTTTACTTCTCTGGGCCTCAGTTTCTCCATCTGTTAAAAAAAAAAAAAAAAAAAAAAAGGTGACCTACATGTTCTTTTAGGCCTGGGACAGGCCTAACATTTTAGGATCTAAGAAATGCATCTGAAAAGTAAAACTCATGAAACACAGCTAGATCATGGCAAAGCATTGGGAAGCCACAAAAAAAAGATCTGCAGTTGAAAGGGGGAGGCCAGTTTTGACCACAGTTTGTCAGCCTCCTCCGTGAATTTCCTCCTTCGTGTTTATTGTGTCTTTGCCACACCAAGTCCAGGGCTCGATGCTGGGGCGGTGGGGAGGTGGACTCACAGTTGTTTCATTGGGTAGTGGGAACGTAAGAGCCCACCACAGCAAATAGTCATGGAAAATTGGCCTTAGAAGAGGCATTTGGTAAAATGCAGCTTTAAGCAAAATGCTAGCCATAAAGAAGTCTTTTTGTAACCTTGGCTCACAGTATAGCTCATGAGAAAACATCGTGGGACTTGGTGCTCAGGAGGAGCAAGATAATAAGAGCTAATCAGGAACTTGGAGAACTAACCATTA